AATGGCAATTGATAATTCCGTTAACTCCCCGGCAACGGCGCCAAAATTTGATCACGCCCAACTATGCCTTATAAAAGGACTCTGCGGACGCTGCAAATATAACCCGAGTATTACGCCCAGGGTCGAATCCACAGAAAGTTAACCTATCAACCGCTATCTTCAGACCCACCAAGTCTTCAAAACCAGCTTCCCAAATATTCAAATCTCAGTTGAGTGTTCTTTAACAACTAGCTTGCAAATAACTAAATGGCCGTAACTAAATAAATAAGGTTGTAAACAATTATGAAAAAAGCTAAGGCAATGATTTCCCCTATTGATGGAATCCCTTCTGTTTATGCTCATACAAATTTACCAACACATCTCTATCAATCATGAACGCTAATCTTACCGTAAATCTCTCCCGAGTAATCACAGTAATTTACTATTGCACTCTCCCGAGATACACTAGCTTACTTTATTTAGCACGATTCACTTTAGATTACACCCAAGGCTTCGTTATCCCTAATCCCACCTTTAAACCTGCAATTATAGATTCCTCTAATAATCTAGGGGTGGTGTTGTTCAACAATACCCTAAATATGCACTCTTTTCCAAGTTATGCACACTAAATAGGCACAGCTAATTGAGGATCCTGTCAATTAACTACAACGAACACGAAGTTGAACAAATAAAGATTAAACTAGCAATTTGTATTCACATAAACAAGAAGTTCATCACCCAATAGGTTCCATCAACGCCTTAGACAAGGAATTTAGCTACGCATGGCTATGGGAACATAAACTAAGCTTGAATTCATCATAAAATCAAAAGAAAAGAAGAAAGATGTTTAGAGTACTTTCTCACAATTGTTTTCCTTGCTAAGAAACCTAAAAAATCAATACATGCCTCTCTTGGGCGAAGTCTAATGTTTTAAATAGGGTTTAGGTCTAAAAATCCCGTAATTGACACTTTGGTCCCAGAAGTTTCTGCGTCTGCCGCGGTTCTGCCGCGGTCGCGGTAGAACCGCGGCCAAACACCCTCGCGGATTCTCACAACTTCTGCAGCTGCTTCCCACCGCGGTTCTGCCGCGGTCGCGGTGAAACCGCGGTGGATCCAATTCTCTGAATCTTCGGCCTGTTTTTGCCCGGGTCACTTAGGAAATTTCACAGTTGGCCTCTTTTTCATCACTTTTGACTCCAAAACTGCTCCTTAGCCGTCTTTATACATATATCACCTACAAATCATGAAAAGCACTAATAAGAGCATTTTGTCATCACTTTTAGCATTAAAACTACGCAAGAAGGTGATTATTTAAAGTGTGATTATAGTCAAATTCACCTATTATCATATGCTATACGAATGTGGATCATCCAAGAACATGTTACCCATACATCGTTCTGATAATGATTTGCAGCAATTTTACTACCTTTTGTCTCCCAATTCTTTTATTTGAAGTAATGCTGCTACCGATCACCTTCGAGAACTTTTTATCAGTTTAATCAAAAAGTAATTTTAGAATTGATTGAATATTTGGATTAGTTGGAGATATTTGTAAAAATTATCTGAAGACACCAGAATACATAACATTGTGTCTTTCCTGTTTGAATTAACAAAGATAGCAGACGTTGTCACTACCAAGAACCTCGAGCTGGAGAGTATTTCTTCACATGCTTGCATACAGTTTTAAAGTTTATGCTGAACACAAATTCAGTCTATTTACTTCTCCTCTATTCAGTCTATTTGTTCTGTACAAATAGTAAGTGACCACAATAACTGATGTTCATGAATGTATCCAATGGAATATGACAACACCAAAATTTAAAGGAGAAATTGTAGGAGATGGCGTTAAATACATGACTCCGTGGCTTTATCCAATGGAATGCACAGCAGAGCATGCCAAATATTACTTAGTGAATTGAATCTCAACTCAAGGATGCATTTAACATTACTTAGTCTGAATATATAGTAATATAAGTTGTGTTTATTAGCATATATCACAAACAAAAAGTAACTCAAATAAACAAAAAATACTTATACTTAAATAATTTACCAAGAAGTTAAGGAAAATAATAAAGTCAACTGAAGTGTAGTGCTTATAAGATGATGTAGAGGAGACGGCTACCGTAACTCAAGAGCAAATATTGATATAAAAATAAGGGATTTTTTCCTAACTATACCATATATGAAACCTTATTACCAAAAATGTGCATAATTTGTTAATTACCCGCCCAGTCCACACTTTAACTACAATTTATATACCAATCCATAATTAGGCAGATTCTGCCATTTAAAACGTGCGGAAAAAAGGCACAAAATCTGCGTTTGATTCTTTCCACATTAAATTCGAAATTTGAAACGGAAAGAGATCTGATTGCTGCGTAATTCTCTCTTTCACTACAATTCAAAAATAACGCAGAGCTTCAAAAGCTTCAACAACGCAATACAAATTGTAGAATTCAAAATTGTTCTTCATCGTCCTCAGTACTCAAATTGTCGAACCTATATCTGTTCTTCATCTTTTTTCTCTCAACTACACGAAATCATGTCAAAAATCCCAATAATGCTAAAATTGAATGGGAATTGGGATAACTATGGCAGATTTAGAGATTTTGAAGTTGATGCCATTGTGGTAGATGAGAATGCAAGCTACGGAATTCTGATTCCTACAATTGCAGAACAACTATCGATTGATACATCAGAAAAAATTGTAGAAATCAAATACATTGTGAACGACAATTGTCCTCCAATGGAGATTAGGAATGATATGGGGGTTCGTGTGTATATGGAGACCAAAAAGGAGAATAAAAACTTAGGTTTGTATCCTTTATGTATAAGCGTAAGAGATTTCAATATGGAATTAGCAATCACCAACGATAGCACAAGTGCAGGTTTGTATAATTCTACATTGCAGAGAGTTATGGTGTTAGTGTGTTATCTATAGTATTACTACATTTACCTACAATTAAAGTACAAAAAACAATGTACTGAAGAGGTTAAAGCATTGTTGTTTTCAAAATTATCTACATAGTTACTATATTTATCTCTATGTTGCTGCAGGTTCGTCTAGATTCCTAAAGTTACTTGAAATTCCATCTTCTCCAGCTATAGTGGAATATCAAAGTGAAATAATAACTGAATCTACGCAAACATATATTGAAGAAGTACAAGTGTATCAAGACAAGCAAACTGTAGCTGCTGCAATGAAGAATTTTTCTGTGATGCACAAGTTCCAGTTCAGAGTAAAAAGATCTAGTTATAGAAGGTATGGAGTAATTTGTGGAGAATAGATCATTAAAAGCAGTGTTTTAGTGAATCGATATGTAGTTTTTATAAATTGTATTTAAATCGTAGTTAAATTGTAGTTAATTGTAGTTTATAATGATTTATGTTAAAACAGTCCTTTTTGTTGCATCTACATTTATAGCCTGTATTAAATATTGTATTTTTTTGTAGCTACTGGCTTATATGTGTTGCTGAAAACTGTAAATGGCACTTCAAGGCAACGTCAATTAACGATTCCGCAATGTTCAAGATAAGGAGTTTCAGCCGACAACACACATGCTCCTTAATGGACGAAACATTCATATAGCGCAAACGTACTGCAGCTGTAGTTGGTAGCATGGTCGTTCCAAAGTATTGTGATCCTAATACTGTTTACACACCAAAGGACATACAAACTGACATGTTATCCGAACATGGACTGAACCTAAGCTACATGCAAGCATGAAGAGCAAAGGAAAAGGCTTTACAGTTTTTGAGAGGGAATCCGGCTGACTCCTACAGCAAATTACCCAAGTATTTTTATATTCTTGAGGAGACTTATCCTGGTTCTGTTGTTAAATTGAAGAAGGCAGCAGATGATTGCTTCTTATACGCATTTGTTGATTTTTGTACATCAATAAGTGGTTGGCAATATCGTAGGCCAGTAGTAGTGGTTGATGGGACATTCTTAAAGTCAGCCTACAGGGGGATTATGCTGACAGCAAGCACCATGGATGCAGCAGGTAAAAAATGTAAAAAATTTGTAGTTATTTTGTAGGCAGTCTATAAAATGTAGTTAAATTGTAGTTATTTTGTAGTTAAAACAAAAAAATGTAGATAAATTGTCTGTAGTTGTTATTTAATTATATTTTTATATACATTTTCAGAGCTGCCAATTAACATTTTATGAATTAAAAATGTAGGTACTATATTGCCCTTGGCCCATGCTGTGGTTGATTCTGAAAACGACGCGTCTTGGAAGTGGTTCTTTGAGCAATTCAAGGAGGCATATGGTGAAAGACCTTCAATGTGTGTTGTTTCAGATAGGAATGAGAGTATACTGAAGGCAACATCAATTGTCTATCCGGGCGTGCCACACTACTCTTGCATGTGGCATATTTGGACAAATATAAGGTCCAAATTCAAGAAGGGACATCTACAATTACATGAATTGTACTTTGCTACAGCACGGTCATACACTCTGGATGAATTTAATGAAAGGATGTTGAAGATTGAAGAGGTAGACCCGCGTGTAAAATCTTACCTATATGATATTGGCTATCATAGATGGTCAAGAGTACATGCAACGGTGAATAGAACTTTTACTATGACATCAAACATTGCCGAGTCGTTGAATGCTGTAACAAAAGAGGCAAGAGAGCTGCCAATATTTGATCTATTAGAGTATATGAGGACGCTTCTTGAACGTTGGACGAAAGAGAAGTTATTGAAGGCAAAGGGTACTTTCACATACCTTGGGTACAAATTCAACAAAGAATTGGAGGACAACAGTACATTATCTCAGAAACTAAGGGTAAGATCTGTTTGTTTGGTGCAGAAAACATAAATTACTTAATATGCAGTGTTTCCAGATTGTAGATAAACTGTAGTCAAATTGTGGGTAATTGTAGATTGTAGATAAGTTGTAGTGTATTTGTAGCTGATTTGTAGGTAAGTTGTAGATAATCTTTTTCAATGATTGATATAATATTTTGTCTGTTTGTTCTTCAATTGTAGCTGAGAGCTTCAACAGATCATATACATACTGTGTTAGATGGTATGAAGCGGTACATTTTGTGTCTAGAAAACAAGAAATGTAGCTGTGGACAATTCCAACTTGATGAACTTCCATGTGCGCATGCTTTGGCAGCATTAAGGCACAGGAAGGTAACATACGAAAACTATTGCTCTTCGTATTACACAAGGAAGAGCCTTCTGCGTACCTATGAAATGCCAGTAAATCCTCTTCCTGATGAAAGCAAATGGGATGCGCCACAACATATTTTGGATGAGGTAGTAAAGCCACCGGCGGGAGATAAAAGGCAGCCAGGGAGACCTCACAAGGAAAGATATAAAATATTTGATGAAATAAAGTCAAAGAAGTACAAGGTGTCATGTGGAAATTGTGGAGGTGAAGGGCATAACAAAAGAACTTGCAAGAATGCGCCCAAAAAGAAATGAATATCATGTAGCTAGAATAGTTATTCAAAATAAATGTTAGTGAGTTCAAATTATCCGATTTTTTTGTGTAATCGTTTAAGTTTTTGAAGATGATTATGAAGTATACTACAATTTGTGTATTTGCGTTTAATATGATTTTATGTATTCTGTCAGGCATCTAAATTTGTCTTTTTTATAGTTTAGTTAAACTCTAATATTTATTATATACAAAACAACTGATATTAATAAAGTAACCATAATGTAAAGTGTTTCCAGATTGTAGTTAAAATGTAGTTTTAATGTAGTTAAATTGTAGTCTTGGTAATAATTTGTAGATAAATTGTGGATAATTTATTTATATGATTTGAGTATTTATTTCATCTGTTTGCTATGTAACTTAATTTCAACTGACAGTTATATACAGAAATTACCTAGAAGTTGAAGGTATTTCATAAAAATTATGTGAAGATTAATTGTAGGCAAATTGTATTCTAGCAAATCAGAGTACTCAAGTTTAATATAATGAAGATAAAGTGCTGTAAACAACCAAAATGGCATATTTCCTACAGTGTATTCCACTTCAACTACAAAATGACATCAACTAAACTAGGAACACAAGACTTTATTTCTTCTTTCTCTGTACTCTAGTCCTCTCATTTTTAGCAGGAGCACCCTTCCTCCTTGCTAGCCTGCCTGTAACCTCATTTTCACTGATTGACCCATCTTCTTGCTTTTTTGTACCATAGTCCCATAGTAGAGCTCCATAGCGTCTACGGTGTTGGTCGATATCAGAAAGGTTTTCTTTTGGGATTGCCAAATCTCCAAGGCTAACATACTCCACAAAAGCAGCCACAAATACACCACAATCGCTGCATAAAATAAAATTTTTTAATCATGTAACAATTGATTATAAAAAAAATAATTAAACATATAGAAAAAGAGAATAGTTTTTTTACAGTGATCCTTCCTTTTGTTGTGGAATCTCCGTAACCATCCACTGTATGGTGAGAGGGTCTGTAACTGGTTTCTCAATGTATGCCTTTGTGGTCTTGAAGTCAATGTCTTTGCGTTTCCCGTAGAAACCAGTACAAGACAAATACAGAGGGATAATGATTGAAAACTTATCAACTAATGATTCAACAGACGTATGATGGTGTGAAGACACCATGGAATCATAAACATAAAGTTGCCTGTCCGCTATGTCGAAAACGAGCAACAACCAATGGAAATTCTCTACAATGTTCACAGGCATGATGACATAGTCAACTACATCCCAGGCAACATTAGCAAGAAGTCTATACCCAAGAATATATTCTGCAACATCATCATCTGATTTAACAACCGAATACTTAAGTTCTGGCGGAGAACTTATGAACTTGTCATAGATTCGTTCAATCTTGGTCTTGAACAAGCAATCGGTTGTTGTGAACCTAGTGTTGTTGTTGGGGCCATATTTGCCTCTTTTTCTCAGATAATACATAATAACATCAATGTGCTGCAAAATAAAATAAAATCTACTATAAGCTACAGAGTAACCACAATTATCTACATAACAGCTACAGCTTAAACTACAATTGCAGCAATCAAATAATCTAACAGATTGCTACACTTTAGCTACTATACAGAGCAACAAATGCAACACAGCAACTAACATAAGGTCTCAATAATATCCAAATTCAAACGACAGTTAATATTATAAGTCAAAATAACTTGCTCTACAATTTAACTACAAAGTAACTACAATTATGATACACAGAGATTCCAATTCTGTCCAAAGTACCAAAAATCCAATTTGTACATACAAATCATCATCAAATATGAGACATAAGGTCCATTAAAAGCACAATTACACTATAAATAATCAGAAACAGCATTTATATGAAATGTCTACATTATATCTACAATTTATATTAAAAGGCATGGTCACCTATATCTCTTGTCTACAATATAACAACAATTACACTACACAGCCGAAGACAAAACATATATTGTGAATGAAGCTGTTCTTTATACTTACCGTGTTATTGATGACTTGTCCTGGGTGAGCAAGGGAATAAAACCAGTCCTTCTTATCCACATTTTCACAACCAACGTCTAACCAAGGCTTGATTTGGTTATCCTTTTTGGAAAAGTATTCCTTCCTCCTGTAAAAACATATAAATATCAAATCAAAAAAAATGACAGAATGAATTACATATTTAAAGTTTAAAAATGCTAAAATGAAAGTGTAAATTTAAGCATTCATACCTCTTAGATACTTTGTCACTACGATGGTATAACCAGTTGGTGAACCTGCCTATCAAATCAGCATCTACATTTTCATCTATAACAGTTGTGAAGGGGTGCTTGAGGTAGAAAAATTTAGGTCCGACAGAGCTGCTGCCTCCAGAACTATATAGAGGTGTGAAAGGTGATCGTGCATGTTTCCCCGATTGCCTGATTCTACCCGGATGAATAAGGGTTGCTTCATCTGGTATGGGCTCGCAATACATAACCAATTGTGTTAAGTTGTCTGGCAACTCAAAGTCATCCAATGTCATACCCTTCTTGTCAATGCCTGAACCTTCAGGAACAACTTCATTCACATGCTCTCCATCTTCACTTTCATTTACCGGATTCTTAATGATTTGTTCTGTCCGAGCTGCTACAGTCACACCGTGAATTGGGGACTGTGCAATGTTATCTTCAATATCTGTTACATAAAAAAAAACTTACTTAACAGCAATGTAAAATTGTATAAGCAACAATTATCTATTCAAAAGTATATTATGATACTATACCTGTTTTTTCTACCTCAGCTCCTTCCTGAAATTCTGGTTCTTCCTCAACAAGTGCTGGCACACCTTCAGGAGAAACTTCAGCTTCTGTAGATAAATGTAGATGTATGTAGTAATACAATATTTGTGGATATAAAAGTGAATATAATGAGCTTCTGATATTATACCTGCTTGTTGTACCTCAGCTAAATTGTAGATATATGTAGGAATTTGTAGTTAAAATGTGAATTATAAAATTTTGCTTTGTAACCTTATTATAATGAAAGTATGATAGTATACCTGCGTTATCTGCCCCAGCTGCTTCTTGAAAATCAGGATATAAGTCAACATGTGCTTGAACATGTTCCGGAGAAATTGCAGTTACAAAATATAGTGAAAAAAGGGTAAATATAATTATATAATGCTGTCTTGAAATTTGTAGATATGTTTGTAGGCATTCTATAGATACCTGTATTGCTTGTGCTTGCATGCACTTGATCACCAATATTGAATTGAAATTGCCGGTTGTTCTCTCCTTGTTGTTGGTCATTATTTTTGGTTGAACTACCAGCAAACTAAATATTTTGTGTATGTTTGAGTATACTTGTTTCATATGTCATAATTAGTTTTAGTACATAAATATATGTCAATTCTTACCTTTGACTCGTCCACATCGTACCTCCTGTTTATCACCTTCATAACACTCTTCACAGAATCCTCTATGAACTCTCGAAGGCTTGAGAGTTCTTGAAATACAGCCTTCCTAAAATTATCTAACTTTCCATCAACCTAAGATTAAAAATATAGTTAGTTGGTAATTTAATTCAAAGTGCTACAGTTCTAGTACAATTTAACTAAGATGTGTGCAATACCAAAAGGGCTCAATATAGAATTATACTACAATTTAACTACAATGTATAACATACAATAATTGTAATGGAATGTAAATAAATTGTAGCAAAAATATCAATATATTGTAGTTATTTATATTACCTGCTCAATCCCCTTTTCCAGCTTCCTGAGCTTGCTAGCCACAGATTCAGTGTCCTCTTGACAATCTGTATGTTTGGGTTCAAATGTTGGAGAACCAGCAATTGGAACCTGTGATGATTGAGCACCATGTTCATCTTCATACTGAATCTTGTCTGGCAGAGTAAGCACTCCAATCTCTTCTCCAGATTCAGTCATGCTTGTGAACTGAATGATGGAAAAAACAGTTAGTTCCAGTAACTCACTAAATGTAGATTAATTGTAGTTATTATGAAGGTAAATGTAGCAAAATACAAAACTGAAAAATATACCTTAACCCACTCAGGCTTGATCATCTTCTCTTCAAATGCAGTTAACCAAATCTGGCCCTTATTAGCTGACCATCTTAATATGCGAGGTATTGAGTTAGAACACCTCATAGCAAGCTCAGTGCTGACGGTGGAGCAACACTCATAAAGCCACACTTGCAAGGCTAATGAGCATCCCCGTATGAGATAAGAATGTACACGGGGATTTAGACGATGTCGGACAGATTCCATAACCTGATTGAAGGACTTAATACCCCATGGGTATGACTCAAAATTACCAGACTCTACCAGATAGAATCTAAACTGGTCTATGAAAGACACATGGTCTTTATCAGAAGGACAAACAAAAAATTCCAACAGATAAAGAATGCACAACTTCACTGCATGCTCATCGTTTTCCCAAGCTTTATTTGTTACTACATTTTTCAAATGCCACTTCTCAACCCTTTTTTTGTTCGGAAAATAGGTATTCATTAGATGGCTAACATAAGTAGAAGTGTAACCATAGTCTGAAAACTTATTCACACAATTTAGACCAGTAATCAAACCAAAGTCTCTCAATCCAAAATTCAATTTTTCACCCTTCAAGAGGACTGAAAAAAGGATTCATTAGACTTAGCCAATTCATACTTCATGAGAAGATGAATTGCTTGGTTTTGCATGCAAATGGAAGGGAGAGAAAAAAAGTAACCAAAGCAAGTGTTTTTTGAATAGATTTAAAGCATTTGGAGAGAGTAACGCTTTTATTTGGCTTGGAAGACTAGGATCACACAATGTGTGGAATCTAAGCACCCCATAATCCACATTATGTGGTGCAAAGTAATGGCCATTCTGCAGAAAATAATAAATTATTTAACATTAGTAGACTGCATAAAAAAGAAGCAGTAATCTACATATGGAATTTTAGGGGAATCTACACATGTAAACATTATCTCCAAACATGAAGGAAGAAAAAGGTAACCACAGCTCTATAACTACAAAAATATAACAGTTAGTTCAAGTAACTCACAAAATGTAGATTAATTGTAGTTAGTATGAAGGTAAATATAGCAGCATACAAAAAGTGAAAAAATATACCTTAACCCGCACTTATCTACAATTTACCCAAATGACTACAAAACAACTACAAAATAACTACAATTATGAACTGTCTAAAAATCACAATTAAAACTAATCTACAAAATTGAGACAACTAATCTACAAAATTAAGACAATTATACAATTTACCAAAACCACTTGAACCACTTATTTTTACAACCAAAATCACACTAAAAAACTGGAAAGGAAAATAATTAATGTTTACCTTCAGCAAAATCTTTTTCTCAACCAATTTTGGTACTTTTTTGGAGGGTTTCTTCTTTTTTGGTTTTGATGAAGCAGGAGAGACCTTGGGTTTTTTAACATATGGAATTTTAGGGGAATCTTCAACAAAATCGTCATCTTCACACAACTCTTTCCCCTTTCGTTTTAGTTGTTTCGCGACTGGTTTAGCACCTTCACCAGCATCAACATCGTGCAATAGCTTAGTTCTCATCTCCGCACGGATTTGTCTAGGAGATGAAATGTTAGTAGTAGGTTCACTTGCATGTGTAGATTTTGCTTTTTTTGATGGTGATTTTGGTGTTAAAACACCCAAATCAAAAGATGGGATATCAGCTAATGTAGATTTTGAAGGTTTTTTTTTGGGAGTGTTGATGTTTTTCATGATTTGGGAGAAAGATTACTTCAACTTGAATCAGATGGAACTTCAAATTGGGATTTTGTGAAATTAAATGGAGAAAAAATTGTAGAATCGTGGGTCTGTAGAGGACAACTGATGGTAAACGTGAGGTAGTGAAGGTAAAACGTGGGGGTGTGGGGGGTGGGAGGAGAGAGGGGCGGGTAAAGGTAAATGTGAGAATATACACTCCTAAATTAACGCCTAATATAAATGAAGTATTAATTATACCCCTAATTTGAATTATGGTATATAAATGGTAATTTGGTATGCTGAAATGTAATTAACACAAACCATAAACATTGAGGGTAATAAGGTTTCATATATGGTATAGGAAGGTAAAAATCCGTAAAAATAAATAACAACAGCACCAAAAATAAAAAAAAGTTGGAGAAAGACGCAAAATAACAGAAATGGATAAATCAAATAAAGGAACAAAGAGAGAAGAAAAATTCATCCAAATCACATGTACAACATAAGCCTAGAACACAAAAGAGGGAAATTGCAAAAATCATATATATCCGAAATTCTGCCACCAAGAAATGCAGCACAACTCACAGGTACAACAAACCCCAAAACCAAAGAGAAAACGGAGATCTGTAGAAAAGAAATAGAAGCTAATTTCCTGAGAGACAGAAAAAACTAAGTGGAAAAGCAGAAACATTAGCAATAATCGAGCAGAACGATTTTAGATCAACTCAAATATCAGCTTCAAAAAGGGATTATTACCTGGGTTCTATTTGCTTTGTTGGTGCTACAGTTTGATTATGGTGGGTTATGGTGGATTTCGTTGCTATACTGTTCGTTCTCGATGCATTGCAATGATTTGAGTTCCCTCAAAAGAAATCGTAGCTTTTTTTATGGATTGGACACGATATTTTTGGTTAGTGCACAGAGGAGTGCATCAAGAAATTACAATTAATCGGATGGATCAGGCTGAACAGAAAATTTCACGGAAGAACACGCTAGAAGCCTAGAAGGCTATGGAATGGTATTGGAAAATCAGAGACGAGACTTGAGAGAATTTTCTGTGTATCTCATTGAAAAATGAGTGAATCAATAAAAATACAAACTATATCTCTAGTAAAGAAAAGAAAAGAAAAAGGAATAATATCTATCCTATGTGTATTGTTTATATTGGCTACAAAAATAACAACCTAACTAACTTTTATTCCTCTCACGTGTAAAGAGTCTTTTAACGTGTGGGAGCTTCCAGAATTTATCATTCTTTTAGTCTTCCTTGGATTCTAATCAGATGGTTCTGATTTGATCAATCAAATATTTATCAACCCGTTGCGGTTTGAACACGTGGCTCTTTATCAATCAACCCTTTAATTGTTTTGTCTGATAACTTTGCCAAACACATCGAAGACTCCGAACTCTTTGACTTATCTCTTTCTTCTTCATTTGCTTGTTCTTCTGTCAAAATTGAGGAGCTACAATGGTGAGATGGAGATCGAATTCCATCATCCCCCCTCAAGTTGGAGGGAAACGAAGAAACCCCCAACTTGCCAAGGGTGAATTTGTGCGAAGGGCCGGACAAAGGCTTAGTGAATAAATTGGCAAGTTGTGAGCGTGAAGGCACAAATGAGAGAGAGATCAGCCCAGAGAGGAACTGCTGACGGACAAAATGGCAGTCGAGATCAACATGCTTAGTGCATTCATGGAAATAGGGTTCCGGGCAATATGTATAGCAGCCTTGCTATTAGAGTAAATGGGCACCGGAACGGGTGGAGGAAGAGATAGATCAGTAAGGAGACGAGTGAGCCAAGTGAGTTCGGCAACCAGGCGTCTCATTGATCGATATTCAGGTTTGGCAGAGGATAAAGAAATAGAGGCTTGCTTCTTCGATTTCCAAGAGATAGGGGATCCACCCAAACTGATGAAGAAACCACTAATGGACCGGCGAGTGTCACGGCAGGTAGCCCAATCGGCATCACAGAAAGCTAATAAAGAGAAGGAAGGTTTGGGCATTCAAGAACAGACCTTGTCCTGGATTTGCACGAAGATAGCGAAGGACCCTTAAAGCAGTGAAGTGACCAAGACATGGCCTTTGTATATATTGACTGAGGTTCAACACAGCAAAAGAAAGATCAGGCGAGTATGAGTCAAGTAGTTGAGTTTGCCCACAAGTCTGCGATAAATGGTGGCATCAGCTAAAGGAGGTACAGAATCAGCAGTGAGTTTGGAGGAGGGATCCAGCGGAGAAGAAACAATGGGAAGATCAGGGCAGTCAAACTGTGTAAGTAATTCCTCTGTGAATTTCCTTTGAGTGACAATGAGCCCTTCCTTTTCTGTTAAAATTTCCATACCGAAGAAATAGTGCAATCGACCAAGGTCCTTAATCTTAAATTCAGAATGCAAAAATGATTTGAGCTCAGAAAGTTCACTAGGATTATTGCCTGTAATGAGAATGTCGTCAACATAGACGGCAACAATAGAAATGAAATCACCAGTCTTCTTGAAAAATAAGGAGTAATCATTAAGAGATGAAGAAAAACCCTTATAGTTAAGTGCCCCTGCAAGTCGTGCATACCATTGCCTCGAGGCTTGTTTAAGGCCATAGAGGGATTTCTTTAATTTGCAAACATGGTGAGGACTAGGTGGGGATAGACCTGCAGGAAACTTCATGTAAACCTCTTCCTACAGGTCCCCATGTAGAAATGCATTGCTAACATCAAATTGAGAAATAGTCCACCCCTTTTTGACAGTAACTGAGAGAAGACACCTGATAGTAGTCATTTTGACGACAGGAGAAAATGTCTCAGTGTAATCGATCTCCTCTCTTTGTATGTCATCCCTGATGACTAGTCGAGCTTTAAGCCTCTCAATACTCCCATCTGCATGTTGTTTCACCTTGTAGACCCACTTGCATGGTAAAGCTTTCTTACCAGGAGGAAGAAGAACAACATCCCATATTTGATTAGATTCTAAAGCCTCAATCTCTGCATCCATTGCTTATCCTGCATGAGAACTAGCTTGGGAATAACTAGTAGGTTCCATTATAGGTGAAGTAGAAGTGAGAATATGCTGACTCTGAGTAGAGAGAGCATGAAAAGAAAAAACAGGAGGTGTAGAGGGAGTAGCAAGGCAAGAGGTGGTAAGATCAGTGAGGTATACGTTATTGAAAACATAATACTTTAGATGGATAGGCTTAGTGCCTAAATTGGGTCGTTGAGATCTTCTGAGCCCAACGGGCTGGGTGAATGGTGGAGAAGGAGAGATGGGACTAGGAAATATGGGAGAAATATGGGAAGTAGGTGGGGAAGTAGGCTGTGAGGGTAATGGAGAATGTACAGGTGAGGGAGGTGAGCTTGGGTGGGAGATAGGAATAGAATAAAATGGAGTAGGAGGGGCAGAATTATCTGAGGGAGCAGGGGAGGGAAACAAAAATGAAGCAGTGTCTGAAGAGGAAGAGGAAAAGGGAAAGATGTCTTCACAGAACTTGACATCCCTTGAAACAAAAACCTTTTTAGTTTCCACATCCAACACTTTGTATCCCTTTTGCCCAGTAGGATATCCTAGGAAGACACAAGCCTTTTCCCTAGGCTCAAATTTGCTCCTGTTATGAGATAAAGTGGAAACATAACACAAACATCCAAAAGATTTGAGGAAATGATAAGAGCGTGGCTCAGAAAACAGTATTTCATAAGGAGTTTTACCTTGAAGAACTCTAGAAGGAAATCTATTGATAAGAAAAGTAGCAGTCAAAATACATTCTCCCCAGTAGCAAATAGGAAGCTTATATTGAAATAATAATGCTCCAGCAATCTCTAGAAGGTGCCTGTGCTTCCTCTCAACAACCCCATTCTGTTGAGGTGTGGCCACACATGATCTTTGATGCAAAATGCCCTGTGAATTCAGAAATGCAGATTCTATTGTTCCCCTCCCTAATTCTAAAGCATTATCTGATCTTATAACTTTAAGCTTTGAAGCAAATTGTCTTTCCACCATACAAAGAAACCATTTTAAAACTGGAAAGGTATTGCTCTTAGTACTCAGCAAATAGGTCCAAGTTCCTTGACTGAAATCATCCACAATCATGAGAAAATATTTATAACCATTATAAGTAGGAACAAGAAAAGGCCCCCATGTGTCAATGTGTATTAGATCAAAAATGCCTTTAGATTTGATTTGACTGATTGGAAAAGGCAACTTAGATTGTCTAGCTAAAGAACATATATCACAAGAACAAACAAGATTGGGCAGAAATGAAATAGAACTAATGTATTTCATTGCTTGAAAAGGCAAATGCCCCAGTCTTACATGCCATAACTTTACATCAGATTTTGTTCTTGCAGAAATAGGTAAACTAACTGAAACAAAATAAGAATGATATTTTTTTAGGTAAAGGAACTACAACTGCTGAAGAGTGACTACTAGACTTTGCTATACTAGGCTCCAAAAGATAAAGACCATCCTAAGATTTACCAAAAGCTTGAGGGCTCTTCAGGAGAGGGCCCTGCAAAATACACCCAAAAGAAGTGAATGCTAAGAGACATTTGAACCTCTGGCAAAGACTATGAGCAGAAAGTAGATTATATTTGAAACAGGGGATATATAAAACATTAGTTAAAACTAACCCTGGAAAAAGAGAAACATTCCCTGCATGAGTGACTCTTACCTTTGAAGAATTAGGTAGCTTGACTAGTAATGGAGTAGAAAGGGGAAAGAGAAATTGAAAAGACTCAGAATTAAAGCACATATGCTCAGATGCTCCAGAATCTATGATCCAGGAACTTGAATTTGAATTAGCTAAGGAATAACAAGAGACAGAGTTTGTAAGAAATATACCAGCTGCTGAGTTTGCATTAACTTCAGCAGGTTTTCCCACTTGAATCTGGTTTAAGAGAGAAACCAGCTGTGTGAATTGTTCTGATGACAATTGCTATGCAAACTGACGACCTTCAGTGATGTTATTGTTAGCTCCCTCTGTGTGATCCATATCTGCAGCAGAGTTTCCCCTCACAGGACCTTGAAATTTCTTAGTCTTTGTGAACTTGAAATTGGTTGGGAAACCTATGAGTCTATTGCAATTTTTAACTGTATGGTTGGTCATCTTACAATAGGAACATATTTGAGCATTTCTCTTTCCTTTGTAGACATTATTTCCTTTGTTAGCAACACTTCCATTTTCGTGCTGTGTGTTGAACTGATTTCCTGAAGATAGTTGTGTAGTATGTTGTGTGCTTCCTGCCAGAAATGAAGAGCCATCTCCTGAGAAGTGTGTGTTGACATGTTTCTCTCTTTGGTTCTTATCTTGCATCAATAGAGAATAGGCATGATTAACAGTTGGTAATGGGTTAATCATTAGGATATTACTTCTTGCTGGTCCATAGGTCTCATTCAATCCCATAAGGAATTAAATGAGCCTTTCATTTTCTTTTCATTGCAACATTTTTTGTTTTCCACCACAATTGCAGTCGCAAGAGCAAATCATATTGTTGTTGAGAGTGTCCAGCTCATCCCATAAACCTTTCATTTTTGTGAAGTAACCAGCTATGTCAAATGAATATTGAACTAAATCTGCAAGTTCTTTTTGCAGGTGATACATCTTAGCACCATTAGGCTGACCAAACCTATGCTCCAGATCTGTCCAAAGGTCTTTTGCAGTCTTTGAGTAGAGAACACTATCAGCTATTACCTTGGAGAGAGAGTTCAACAACCAGGATGTAACCATGTCGTTATATCTGCTCCAGGTTTTGAAATCAGTAGCAGTGAGAGCTGGGGTTGGACAAGACCCATCGATGAACCCCAGCTTGTTTTTGGCTGAAAGAAAGATCAAAATAGATCTCCTCCATCCAGGATAACCACGTCCATCAAAGGGGGTGTTGACTAGAATCATTCCTGGAGCATCAGAGGCATGAAGAAAATAGGGATGAGTTGTATCAATGGCAACAAGAGTTGTTCCTGTAGATGTTCCTGAAGATGTGTCATCGACAGTTGAAGAAGGTGCCATGATGATGATGATAAAAGCTTAGATTGGAAAAGAAAGAATTAGATAATTACTCTAATGCTCTGATACCATATTGGAAAATCAGAGACGAGACTTGAGAGAATTTTCTGTATATTCCATTGAAAAATGAATGAATCAATCTGTACAGGGACTGTGTATAAAAATACAAACTATATCTCTAGTAAAGAAAAGAAAAAAAAAGGAATAATATCTATCTTATGTGTATTATTTACATTGGCTACAAAAATAACAACCTAACCAACTTTTATTCCTCTCACGTGTAGAGAGTCTTTTAACGTATGGGAAGCTTCCAGAATTTATCATTCTTTTAGTCTTCCTTGGATTCTAATCAGATGGTTCTGATTTGATCAATCAAATATTTATCAGCCCGTTGCAATTTGAACACGTGGCTCTTTATCAATTAACCCTTTAATTGTTTTGTCTGATAACTTTGCCAAACACATCGAAGACTCCGAACTCTTTGACTTATCTCTTTCTTCTTCATTTGCTTGTTCTTCTGTCAAAATTGAGGAGCTACAATGGTGAGACGAAGATCGAATTCCATCAAATGGAAGTTCAAAGAAAAGCTATGGAACCGACGAAACTGTTGATTATGCTACGTGGTTGTTCAATCGGAGGAGGAAGACACGTATAACGGTTGAGAAGTCCAATATGCCCTCAGTTTTTAATTTAATGACTTGAAAATAGGTAGGTCGAAACCTACCAACTCTTCTATAATATAGTAACTAGTATCCGTACCCGCGCGTTGCGCGGTGAAAGTTAAATAAAAAATTTTATAAGAAAATGCTATATGAAAAATACAGTATAGAAAGAAGCATGCGAATGCTATTTTTTTTGAACATGTAATGCAATAAATATTCATACATTGAAGTCATGCGTAAACACACTTATCCATTTTAATAAACATCTATTAAGGAAGAAATAAAAAATTAGATTATTGGCTACATGTATTAGCACTGTTTGAAAAAGGCAACAAATAGCACATGCTTAAGATTACTTGATGAGAATTAAGAATGTTTGATGAGACCTTTGTAATAAAGAGATTGAAATTAGACAAACTGCAGCGTAAATTAGCCATTACTTAATTAGCAATACCATTAAAAGGGTGAAATAATGGTATATGTTTCTGTCAATTAACTGTAGAAAATGTACATTACAGAAGAGAAAGCTGAGTTTCATGAAGGATGCATTGTCAAGTTAAAAACATCATATAGTGAACTAAAGTGAAGTAGCTAGTTGAACTTCACAGAAATTTTTAAGATTTATTTGAATATCTTCTCTTGCTGAGCTACCCTTGTAGTTTTCTTTGTGCCCTTTTAATGGAATTTAAAGTTGTTGAAGGATCAAACTCTTGCACAACCTTTTCAGGTAAGAGAATATTTACCAACAAATACTAATCGTTATAAATTTGTGGATGATAGAAATTAGACTCCTGCATATTCATGAGTCCACGTATGAAAATGTGGACAAAACTTTTCACGCAATTGGAAAGTAAAGGCGCATAAACAAAATGGACCATATAAGCTTGTGAGAGCGAAGTCGTGACGAAAACAAACTTGCATTTACAATCATCATTTTATGGATTATAAGAGCACAAGTTATAAAAAAGATGGTAATGGCAGAAACCTGAAACACACTCTTAAACCAAATCAACTGTATCGCCATTATTCGCCGCAAAGAGAAACATCAAAGTCAAATTAAGATTTCTAAACATCCTGTAAAGTCCTTAGGATATATGAACATATAAATAAACTCACTTGAATAGTTTTTCTGGTATTTAAAAGCATATGCCCCAACCCATAAAGTGCCACCCCGCATGACTAAACAACGGTCGGTTGAAATGATAACAATTTTTTTAGCTTCATAATAATAACGATTAGTAAAAAGCTTAATTCTTTAGGCCATGAAGGGGAGAGTGTAATAAGAAAATGTGATTAGTTATATAAATATGAAATTATCACCACTAACTTCGGCAAAAACTATGCACTAATTGCCTCTACTCGTGTAGTATGAATAGCTTGTATTTTGAGCAGCAACTACCCTTTCTTTACAAAACCTAACATCATGTAGCAACTTTAGCGCGAAATCCGACTTGGTTGACATTTTTTCTGAATGTTGAACTGTATTTTTGGACTAAATTTGTATAAGAAAACTGCAAAATCAATATAAGAAAATATACTTAAAAAATGATATTCTTACTCTTGTTTTATGGAACTCTCATGCTATTATTACTTTTGTAGTAAGTTCAATAAGCATAATAACACCTATGTGTGAGATAAGACATGTTCTAAGAAATATTCATCTTTCTTAATTCATCTGTTAAAGTTAGTTGGACCTGTTTACTGAAAGAGTCAACTAAGTACTCATTTAAGAATCAACTTTTTACAGATGAATGCAGATCAATATTTATACTAATTTCACTCTAGAAAGAACATGTTGAAATAATAAAGTGTATCCTTTCAAAACCTACTTTACAAAAGGTTGCCGAAATCCTGTTAAACTTTAGGCGCATACAAAGGTAGAAGTTTTCCTACATGTGAACTATTATGACTGAACATGATATGATAATAAATAAGTGTTCGAACATAATGGCAGATTTGATAGAAAAATCCTTCGCAACTGCCTCACCTAATTAATACATTTATCTAATATTTTGGCAATAAAGTATAACCAACAACATAAACCAAGGAAATGAACAAACACACGAAATTTCATTTTCAGATATATCAAATTCCTAGTGTATACATGAGCGATCAGGGAGTGATTACTCTGAAGGATATTGTCGCATTATTCCAAAACTTCATTGGTAAATATCACAGTAACATGAACTTGTAATATAGTAACATAGTATAATTAAATAGGATTATTTTAAGCATTACCAGTCTAGTATTCGTATCCGCGCATTGTATTTTATTCAACATGCCACATTTGTTGCTATTCATCTCTTCTTATATGTGAACTGGCCTACAAATGTTTCAGGAATCATCTCCGCAACTATTTTCCCAGTTGGTTCATCAATGCCAACAACAAATAGTAAATTAAAAAGAAGGAGATATCATTATATTTATGCTATTGTGGAATCACCAACAGTAAATTCAACAGGTCATAGTGCGACTAATTACAGAAGCTTCTTAACCACTTAGAAGAGGAAAAGAAATAGAACCATAAATGATAGAAATTTAGAACTGAGTTAAAAAGAATATCTGTATATATTTACAAAGAATCTAAAACTTGATATTTTGTAGTTCCAGAAGTTCCCTTTCTAACGGCACAAGTGGATCGTGATTTCGGTATTCCTAAAGAGAGATAAAAAAAATTGTTAGGGCGTGCAGAGTTGTAAAAAGCCAAAATGACAGAAATTCATAACTTAGTTCAAAAGAATATATGTATGAATTTACAAAGAATCTGGATTTGAATTTTGTATATTGTAGCTGCAGAAGTCATCTTTCGAACGGCACAAGCGGATCGTGGTTTCACCGTGCCTGCAGAGAGATATAAGTTTTTTAGTCATGATGCGCAAAGTAGTGAAAAGCAGAATACCTGAAATTTTAACTGAATTCAAAAGCATATTTGTACAATATACGAAGAATCTGGACCTAATTTTTGTATATAATGTAGTTCCAAAAGTTCTCTTTCTAACGGCACAAGCAGATCATGATTTTGATGCCGGCTGTTTTGTTGAAATAACTGGAATTATTCTCTGAAAACTATTCGTCCTTCTTTTTTAAACTTTTATGTATAAAAAAACTAATTGAAAATTTGAGAGAGTAGTTGTTGAGTAAAATAGGGTCAACTAAGAAAGTGGGAGGATTTTTTTTTTTTAATAATAGCTAGCCCAAATAAGGGAAGAAAATTCTGTTTTTAATAGGCAAGTGTATCAATAAGAATAACTGCAAAAACAAAATCGTGGGAGGATTGGAAGTTTTTTTATTTTTTTAAATTTAACTTTATTTTTGCTGATTTGTAGTTTGAATTTGAAACTCCAACTATCTCGGAAAGTTGTCCTAATTTTTTACATGTGTTAAAATTATGGGTATTCCACTTGTCAGCCTAACATAATTTTGCCTTTGTTATTATATATAGATAGATTCATTTAATAGTCATACTGTCTAACATGTGAAATGAATAAGTATTTGTTGTATTAAATTAATAATTTATCTTGTATGCTTCTATGACCCCTAGCTCTATCCAGAGTTTGAAATACATGAAAAGACAACTTTAACCCTCCATTGTTTTCATTCTATTGATTGCATAACTGGGTTTGATGTTGTTATTTTTTTCTATGGTTTCCATTGATGGTACTGCTATATTGCTTCTTTTCGTCTTCTTGAGCCGATAGTTTTTCGGAAACAATCTCTTTACCCCACGGAATAAAGATAAGATCTGTTTACACATTACTTTTTTCAGACCTACAAATGAGATTTCAGTGGGTCCTTGTATGCATAATTTGGTTATAGTCCAAAATTGCCTATTAGAATCTGTCATATCTGTCCATTTTTTTTCCGGAATTTAGTAAAAGCCAAAAGGAGAGTCCCACCTAAAAAAAGGTCCAAAATTGGTAATAGTCCAAAATTGCCTATTAGAATCTGTCATATCTGTCCCCATTTTTTTATCCAGAATTTAGCAAAAGCCAAAAGGAGAGTCCCACCTAAAAGGTCCAAAATACGTTTATGGTTTATTACTCAACCTTTACTTTATTACACTCAAGTTATTAAACTCTTTTCTAAAATGAATAAGTCACTTCACTTTGTTTAACTATCACAGAAAGCCACTAAATAATTTTATTAACAAATAAGTTACTCAACTTTACTTAAATCTCACAAAAATCACGAAACTATTACCTTCGTTACTTTTTTCAAGCGACTCTGTGATATTTAGGTAACGTTGAGTGACTTTTTTAGTTACAAAAAAAATAGTTTAGTACTCCATTCGTTTCAGTTTATGTGAACTTATCCTTTTTTTTTTTTGGCTTGTTCCAAAAG